TCATGCAGATTGGGTCCTAAACGGCTCTTACGTCAAGACGACCATTGGTCGATCTGTTTGGTTGCCGGTCACATTTTGACATATCTAAGCTTAAGCATTTATCACACTGCGGCTTGCCATATTTTTTGACAAAATGGAAATGTTTGGTTCGTTACTAAATTATGTGGCCGTTGTTTGGATGGTTGCCACATAAATTTGACAAAATTGCCACATATGATTATAGATCACAAATTTGTATTATGTTTCTAATGAATCAAAAATAAACATGAAAATTAAGACTAATATAGATTACTAGTGGTCTACAGTACCCTTCTATTTTTATATTTTTATTTTCTTATTTTTTTAACTTATTTTAAGTTCCCTTCTACCCTATCCACAGGACGTGGCCAAATCGTCCAAGGGGGGCCAGGGGGAATGTTGCCATCAATCCCAGATCACAAGGACCACGAAATCAGCGTGGCTGACCAGCTCGTAACGCCAATCTGGAGGTTAATCAACCCCTGCGCTGTGACGTCCGCGACCGCATCAATACCAATCTCGATGCCCGCAATCGCATCGAGAACAGTCGTGCCCAGCGGCACTACTGATGTCAACCTTATTCTCATAAAAATCATTGAACAACTGAATGATATCATTCTTCACTATATCCCAGTATGATTGATAAAACTCAATAGGGATCTTATCTGGTCTAGCAGCTTTATTTTTTTCCATATGGAACATGGCACCTTTAATTTTATTTTCAGAGAAAGGACTACAGAGCATCAAATTATCCTCTGTAGAAACTTTTCAACTTCATCCCATAGACTAGGATCAATGTGGATATTATGCTCAGTTTCAGGTCCAAACAACCCAGAATAATATTCTGTTGCGTGTGTTTACAATTTTTCATCCCCCTCAATGATGTTGCCCTCATGTTCAAGAGAGATGACAATATTCTTTCTTCTTCTGCCACTAGCAATAGAATGGAAAAACTTTGTGTTATTATCCCCTTTTAACAAGCACTCCAACTATGGGCTTGTTTTGCTAGTTACTATTAAAGATTAGTTCAAATTAGATGTAGCTAACTAGTTGGCTAACAACTAGATAAAGGCTTCGCTGAAAAAATTAGTTGGGACCTGTTTGGCACAGCTTAAAACTGCTTCATGAGCTATTTTTTTTTATCAAACACTCATTTACAAAACACCTTCATGTATGGAGTTGTTTTTCTCCTCTCTCAGAAAGACATAAGTTTGGATGAGGCTGAAAAAAATAGTTTATCCTAGCTCTCTCCCTCATTTCTCTCTCTCAGCCATGTATGAAGCCGTTGATGAAGCTGTTTTGCCAAATAATTTTTTTAAAATAGCTCAACTTCACCTATAAAGTTGCTCATGAAGCTATTTTCTAAAAAAAAAAAAGCTTTACTAGTGAAGTTGAGCTGTGCTAAACGGGACCCATCTATTTCCTATTAGCCCTTTTGTTTAGATGCGCTAGAGCTCACCTAGTCTTGACACACCTTAAGAACCACACTTTCTTTACAAATATCATGATACGCTAGATATGCTTGCATGATAATGTTTTAGTTTTCTCCCGCACTTGCAAGATTAATTTTAGACATTCCACAACCATCTGTACCCAGTCACCTCTAAAGAATTGTTTTAATCGATATGCATGATCAGTTAGCATTATATTGCTAGAGGCGGGTCTCACAAAGGGATTCTGCCATCGACAGGTTTAGGAGGCCAGCTAGAGTCGTACTGCCACGAATCGTTGTCAGCATGATATGATAGCATCAGAACTGATGATGTTACGTTGAGCAATGACAGAATAGTTGACCATTATATTAAAAACAAAAAGGAGCTCAGATTTAGCCATACCAACGACCACCCGAAAAGATTTACCACAACATAACACCGTCTCACCACTGCACTGCACACCAAAGATTTACCACTCCACAAGCGCCAGCAGATTGCTACTACTGCGTTATTACCATCAGTCATCACGGGTCCATTAATGATCAGCCGTATGGTTTTCCCGCAGTACAAGAACACGACGGAGGTGTCGGTGGACGCGGTGCGCATCATCCTCCAGCAGTGCGAGCGGTCCGGCACGGTGAAGCGCGTCATCCACACGGCCTCCGTCACGGCCGCGTCGCCGCTCAAGGAGGACGGCAGCGGATACAAGGACTTCGCCAACGAGTCCAACTGGACTCCGCTCAACCTCTCCTACGGATTCAGCAACGCTCACCTCGACGTACGTAAGGGTTGCATATAATCGACTACTCTACTCACGGCAACGGGCATCCCAACTCAACTGAGACGTACAGCAATGCTAGCTGATCGCCATGCATGCATCTCGATGAGCTGATCGAATTCAAACACGCGCGTACGCACGAACGCAGGATTATGTGCGGTCCAAGTCGCTGTCGGAGAAGGAGCTGCTGAGCTACATCGAGTCCTCCTATAGTAGGACGATCAGCTCCGGGCACTGGAGGTGGTCACCCTGGCGTGCGCGCTCGTCGGCGGCGACACCATCCAGACGTACCTGTGGAGCAGCATCCCCATGATCGATCGTGGCGCCGTTGACGGGGCAGGCGATCTGCCACAACGCCCTCATGTTCCTGCAGGCGCTGCTGGGCTCCGTGCCGCTGGCGCACGTGGAGGACGTCTGCGACGCGCACGTCTTCTGCATGGAGCAGGCGTCCGTGGCCGGCCGCTTCCTCTGCGCCGCCGGGTACCCCAACATGCGGGACATCGTCGACCACTTCGCCGCCAAGCACCCCGACCTCAAGATACAGCTGACGGAGTACGTTGTGGCATGCTCTCGGTCTCGGTTTTTGTTAACGCTACTTGTTATTAGCTAGCTCAGCAACTCTGGTGATTGCTGCTTGACCTGCTTGTGTGGTGGTGACTGATGATCTTGCTATATAGGGTAACTGGGGAAGGCGTCAGGATTGTGCCCAACACCAGCAAGCTGGAGGACTTGGGGTTCAGGTTCAAGTACGGAGTGGAGGAGACGCTGGACTGCAGCGTCGAGTGCGCCAAGAGGCTGGGAGAGCTCTAGATGCTACGCTGCACTACACATGCATGTGCATCATTGGAATTCAGCTACTGTAGTATGGTAGTATCGTGTTCGTATGTGTGTATATTGCGCCATTGCAGTCGATTCCTCCCACCAGAGTTTGAACTGTTCCAGACTCCCATCAGTTTCCACGCAATCAAGAATCGATCCAGGTAACAAGTTAGCTCATGAGTGTGCTCATTTTGTATCCCGTAATGCTCAGGTGGAGGAGTGGCTTATAACCCCACCTGGATTACGGGATATTGAACACCTTCATTGTAATCTTGCCCATGCTTAATCAATGAAGCTCCGGTTTTCCTTAAAACAAATTTCCACGCAATCAGAAAAGGAAAAAAAATGCTAGTATATGGTTTCGTCACTGATTTGCATTTAAAATCTACTGTAGTTGGGCCGGCCTTCGGCAGCGAAATCTCGGGTTTAGCCCGGTGGAAATCCGAACTAGGCCCGCTTCGGCTCCGCACAACGCACACCCATCAGGCCATGGACCCATGGTGCCATGAGCCGGCCCCCGTGGGCCGCGGCCGCGCCTCTTCCGCCGCCGCCCGCGCACCCTCCCCGTCACCGTGAGCACCCGTCCGTGTCTGCGCGCGTCAGCATGACAGCATCCATCCGCGCCTCCGCTGTCTCGTCCCCCTACTCTCATCTCATGGCGCCCTGACGCCTCCTGACGCTTTCTCCACGCTTCTTGCGGTCCTGCGGTTGCCGCCGCCGGCTCCCGCGCTGCCGCGCAGCCAATGGCCACGCCATGGTCTGCACCGTGGCAGGGCAGGGCAGGGCAGCACAGCAGCGCCCCTGCCGCACGGGGACGGCACGCCGGCTCTGCTCCTGCGCGCGCGCGCCATTACCAGTTTACCACCCCGCGCCCCGCCGTAACTCGCCCGACCCCGTCGGGTACACGCCAATCATGCTGCTCGCTGCGCGGCACCATGTGCGCCCGCACGGATCCAGCGGCCAGCGCCGGCCCGCCCCGCGCTTTGTACAACCGGGCAGACAGCCTGACCGCATCATTCATCGCTCGTCACGCAGCTCTCGGCTGGATCCAGGACGCCGTCGTACGACACCACTGCCCGCCCCCGGCCGTGGGGCCTGCGGGTTTGCAACTTTGCAAGTGTTCGTGTGCTGCGGCCGCATCTACCGCTTTCAGCAAGGCAACAAACAGTGACAGAGAGGGAGCGAGGGAGCCCCACTTCGCTTGGACGGGACAGGACGGGACGAACGCTCGCTGCAGCGCTGACGCGCCACACCACCTAACGGTAACATCAGTTTGCAATGCCGCCATGCTCTGACGATAACAAGGCCCGACGGCATCAACAATGATGCAATGAAAGTACCATTCATTCTTTTTTTTTTCCGAGAGAGCTGAGAATCTTTGCATCCAGAATAGCTAGACAGGTAGTGGATGGAGGTTACATAGCTCTAAGCTCGCCCCGTAAGGCTGGCTAAAAAAACAGCTGATGCTAATATTAATTTATTATGAAAAAAAATATTATTATTTGATACGGCTCCTGATGACATGCAAGTTGATAAAAAGCACACCCCATGGGCCATGGCATTGTTTGCCCCAGTAGCAGCATTCTCATTCCAGCCAGCCTTGAAGAACTAATTAACCTGCCTTCCCTACATTTACATGATTAACAACAGTATAAAAACACAGACAATTGTCCTTGCATGACAGAGACAGACATCCTACCAGATTACAGAGTAGTACACAGAACATGAGGTGGTCATCGCAGAGGAGCCCAAACGAAAGGCACCCCCACCCATGAGCCCCCCGGGCTGCACCGAACAAGAAGCAGGCGCTAGTGGGTTTTCAGATAGGATGCATTAGGTTTTTCTCCCTTTCTCCATAGTTCATCAGAGTACTCCTGAAATGCCCCTTACCAAATGGCTGGTTGTGCTTTCTACTAGCAGGTAGGGTCTTGTTTCTGCGGTCATATCAAGCGTCATGCGAGCACCATGGCGGAGAGGAGCGCAACGAGGGCAGTGGCCAGGCCGGCCCTTGGGAGGAGCAAGCCCGCTGCTGCCGCTGTGTCCATGCCAGCGTTTGTGCCTGGTCCTAGGCCGCCGAACCCAGTACCCGTAGTTCCGGTCGTAGTGCCTGTCCCCATGCCTGTGCCGGTTGTGCCTGTGCCTACACCGGGCGTGAAGGTCCCTGAGGTTCCTCCCACTGTGCCTCCAGTGGTTGGGGTCATCGTTCCAACAGCGCTGTATAAACAAGGCAATGCTGTTAGTATTGTGGTAATGTTGATTCAAGCCACATGCTGAATGTTCTGCGATTCTTAGTACAATCATCTGAGCGATGGATTAGCTATGTATTATATGCATCTGCTCGCTACTTGGACCCAGTAAAGCAAGTTGTTCATTGTATGGAATTGCAAAAAAGGATCTCTAGCATAGAGCTATGGAGGCATCAACAGTGACCACTGACCACTGATCTCTTAGGCATGCTGAATGTTCCTGTTTATCAACAGATGTGATGTCTAAAGTCCAGTTTCCTATTCCAGAAGTTATGAGTAGTTTGGAAGAGTATCAAATATCACTTAAAATTCAGTGAACCAACTGCATTCCAAAAGATCTGATTCAACATGATACATCACTTTCTTGGGGGTACCAGTTCCCAAAGTGCACAAGTTTGAATTTTGAAATATGAACTACTCAGTCAGGCCTTAGTGCTAATAGTACTACATGGTGTGCAGTTAATTTAAGTTCATGATGTACCTTCCACTGGTAGGGTAAGAGCAGCCAGAAGAACCTGAAAGTTTAGAACACAAAGATCATATAAGATACAAGTAGGACTCTGATTGAGTGATGAAATGGATAGTGTCACCAGCAAGAAGAACATGGAAGCAATACAACACAAACATCATATAAGACACTGGAATCTGTCTTTTGAATAATAAAACAAAGATCGCAAGAACAAACAGCCTGTTCGTTTCGGCTGAAACGATCGTGGATTATTACTGCTGGCTGGTTTGGTGTGAGAGAAAAATACTGTTCTGGCTTATAATCCACGATCGTTTACGACCAAGCGAACAGGCTGAAAATCTGCCTTTGCCGCATTACAGTTTACTTTCCTTTTGGAAAGTAGGGAAAAAAATGGATGCGCTTTCATGCCAATGCCTGCCCCAGTACACACCAGAGAATGTTGGGTCAAGAATAAAGCATATGGCAACAGCTTTGAACTTTGCAAATCTTGCTATTCATTCAGAAAGTTTGTATTTTTTACTATTTAAATAGTTGTTAGGCTAGTCCACACCAATAGCCTAATTCAGTACCTGTACAGAACCGGATTCCCTAAAGCTTGACCAGTACACCTAGATAGCTTTAACTTATGCTTACTGATAACAAAATGAAATGTGCCAAAAACGATTAGATCCACAATGTTCCATGTCAAAAGCCGAGTTCAGGTGGCCCAAGCACACAAGTCTGGAAAACCTTTAACAATGCTAGACGGCATGAATATTGGTTCCACTAACTTCGCCAACCTTTATTCGTCTTTGCAATTCTAACCCAGCAAGGAGCTAAACACTAACGATCGGTAGCTACAGATTAACTCGCAAGGGGTTAATCCTCCAACTTGAACCTTAATGCAAGGGTAATTAATGTGATAATCTATGCTTGAGGGGGGCATTACTTGGGTCGCTGGTGGTGAGGGTGGCGGTGCCGGTGAAGTCGCAGGTGGCGCCCTTGGCCTTGTTGTTCTGGTAGTAGCTGTTGGCCGCCCAGGAGCAGTGCGCCGGGACGGTGTTGGGGTTGTAGCACGCCCCGTTCTCATGGATGGAGTTGCAGTCCGCCCCGGAGCCGCAGGCGTAGTCGATGGTCTTCTGCAGCGCGGCCTGCGTCGCGTCCTGCCTGCACACGCACCATTCTGCACCAAAGATTTGGTTAGAAGAGACGCTAGAGACTGAAGGGGACGAACGAACGCCTGTCTGGGCGTTCCAGGGGATGCGGCGGTTCTCCCGCGTCAGTTTATGCGACGTGGTATGTGGATGTCACCAAATGCGACGGCCAGGGGAGCGTGAGCACAGCAAGCAGACGGAGCGAGCTTTGCGCACGCAAAGGAAGAGAGAACGGCACTTTTCACTAGACATGTGCTGCAACGGAAATCTGACCTTTTTGTGTAAGCTGTGTGCTGCATTTCAGTTAAGCAAAAGCACAAAAGGGGATTTTGAAAAAGAAAAGTTGTTCTCTGGGGGAGAACTTCAGTGTCCATCAGCAAACAAGAGGAAATTTCCCTCTCCTCTCTCCCTGCTCTGTTCTTGAACGAATCTCTTCGAAACAGAAGCGGAAGAAATACTGAAACGAATAATGCAGCTCGAACAATGTGAGGAAAAGGAATCTCGAAAAAAAACTCAATGTCAAAAGAAACAGTACATCACAGATGCAAGGTCTGCTTGCTTCGTCCACAAAATGGAAACCTTTTTACGGAGTACTCTTGGTCTGATTTGCGTACCTACGACTTTGACTCGACTTTGACTCGGTTGATAGAAAATACATCTAATATTTTTTTCTCTAAATAAATTTATTAAAAAACTAGATTCAAATATCTATCAATGATATTAATTATGGATAGTAAATATTAATATTTTTTAATATATATTTAGCCAAAATTGTTTTTTTAAAACGAAAACAACCGACATTTAGGAACGGAACGGAGGGAGTACTCCGTATGTTCTAGAGGGAACGAGCATTGAAGCACAGCAAACACAAGCACGGAAAACAGAGCCGGGGATGTCAGAGCACAGAAAGCAGTAGAAGAGCTTGCCGTGGCGACTCGGCAGAATGATGAACGAGAAACCCCTAGGCTTGCGCGCGCGCACGCACACACCAAGAAGCCCAAACTCCGGAAACAAGAGAAAAGACGCGGACGCTGACGATATTACAAAATCCACAAGAGCAGAGCAGAGGAAGGGAAGGAAAGAAAGGTTAGAAAAAGAAGAGTGCTCACGTGACGCGGCCAGGGTGGAGGAGAGCAGGAGAAGCACCGTCACCACCAGCGCCTTCATGGTCTACTACCGCTGCCACGGACGAAGCGAAGGTCTCCCTCTCCCAGGACGCGCCTGCGACTGCGAGCACGCGAGAGAACTCCGCAGAGGGAGGTAGTGTGGTCGGCCTTGCCGGTAGAGAGAGAAGAAGATAGAGAGATTCGGAGCCGATGGGGATTGGGGAGAGACCACCAGGGGAGGGGTTGGGGGAGTGAGGCTTGAGAGGGCGTGTGCGCAGTGCAGTGCAGCGGCTGGCGGCCACTCCTGGACTGGACAACAAGAGCGGCTGGCACTGGCAGTATGGGGAGTGCGTGCCCTGTGCACTGTGCGTGCTTCTGCTTGGGTGGGTGCGCGACGCGACGCGACCCGCGAGATGCGCGTGTAGCCTGTAGGAGGAGTATTTGGTCCGGCACGGGCGCCTACTGGTTCCAAATTTGAGCCTATTGTCCGATGTTACGTCGAGAGAGAAAAACACGGCTGGCGGTCGAAACCAGGAAGCGAACAGCCTCTGTTTATCTGCGCCATCGACCGCTGTCCTGCTCTACTGCTACTGCTGCTTGCATCGGCGACGTTTACGACCTCTCGGAGACCGAGCGCCTCGCACCTCGCACCCACCACCACACACCTCTGCTTTGCGGCACTTTGCAGGTTCCCGTGAGCCGTCCTGCGTCCAGCCCGCCACGCCACCGCTGCAAAAATGCCATGGGCAGCGTATTCCGTGTGGAATTCGCCCTCCGCTTTGTGCGTCCAACTTTTGCATTCTTGCCGCCGCTTTCTCTCTATCGGGGAATTTTGTTTTCGGAACAGTAGCTGCGGTCCTCTCTGGATGGCGTTTCGAGGTCAGCCTGCAATTTGGCAGTACTGGCATTTTCCCCCCTTATATTTCCTGTGGAATTAAAGCAGAGTAACGGAAGCGAAATAGTATTACTGCTAAGTAAATGAGGCAGTGATGGAGATTGAAATCTTGTGGGTGAAACAACAGACGCTACTTACTGCTTGGTAGATCTTGACGGCGTTTGTAAGTTTGTGGTCTGCATTACATTCATTCTCTACTAGGCGTTGTTGGCGAGAGAAAACCTGCGCTGTTGTTGACTATACTATACTCGTTCGTTCGTACGTACGTACTCCACGCATGTAGAGCTGGGGACGGTCTCACCAAACGCAGTGGGGCAGCAGGGCTGGCACGAGATCGATTTGAGATTTCCAATCTATCCCACCAACAACCCTCCCTTGAATAGAACGCGGATTGTCCGCTGCAGGAGCCAGTTTTGAATTGCAGAGCACGAAATAACCCCACGTGTAGTAAGGCCCAGTTTATTTCCTCGTCTAAAGTTTACTCCCTATTCTATTGAACGTTGAACATATGTATAGAGTATTAAATATAAACTAAAAATAACTAATTATACAGTTTACGACTAATTTACGAGACGAATCTTTTAAACCTAATTAGTTCATGATTAAACAATGTGGTGCTACAATAAACATGTGCTAATGGAGGATTAAATAGACTTAATAAATTCGTCTCGTGGAGTACCGACGGATTCTGTAATTTATTTTTTTATTAGTATCCGAACACCCCATACGACATCCTTCATATGATATTCGATGTGACACCCTAAAACTTTACGTCTTGGATTTAAACAAGTCCTAAGCTCCCAGGTGAAAAGTCGGCACTCACAGCAAACGGTCGCATTGTCAGAGAGGGTTGGCCGGGGAGGGGGCTTCAGGGCCTGTTCAGCTGGTATGAAAGCCGGCTAATAAGTCAGCTGAAGTTGTTTTGTTGTGAAAAAAAATACTATATATTCTAGCTGATAAGCCGACTGATAAGTTCAAACGAATTGCTTGAAATTATTAGCCGACTTATCAGCCAATATACGGCACTTTGGGTAGCCGTGTTGGCAATAAGCCGGCAGCAGCAGTAATGCGGTCTCCGACGATTTACAGTACCGGATGGGGCTCATTATTTTGGGTAGGTGTGTTGGCCACTGGTCAGGTCCCAAATTGCGAGAGCCAAAGAGAAGGAGACGGAGACACAGACACACAGCCATACAGGACGTTCCCAGAGTACAGTCCATATGCCTCCTCGTGCAGTTGTGCTTGGCCTCGCCTTCGCTCGCCAGACTTGGTTGCATTGGATGGATGGATCTCTTAGATTGGTGGCTTGGTCAGCACCTTGCTTGCAATGGGCCAATACGTTATACATCCAACCGAGTTAAGCACAAGCACTACTGAACCGAACGATCTTAAACAACCCAACAAGGAGCCGAGAGGAAACCCCTCCAGCAAAAAGCGAGATACCCCGCGTCGCTCGTTGGAGGTTGGACCCTTGTCCCCCCCTGCATTTTGCTGCTGCTTGGCGGGGACAGCAGCATGCGCTCGGCACTCGCCTCGCCAGTCATATCCACCGATCTGATCAGGTGATTCAGATCGCTCCCTCCGTGATCCAGTGATGACCTGCCGGCCTTTGCCCCGTTTGTCTCTGCGTCTTGCTGCCAATTTTTTAAGGGATTTTGCTACTCCCTAAAACATAATACACAAGAGTTTAGCGTGGCTGAGTTTATTAAGTCTCTTGACGTTGAGAAGAGGACGATAACAAAAGACACGCATGGGAAAGACGTTGAGTCTTTTAGTGCCAATATGGTGCATAAGAAAAATTCAAATGCATCTCGTATTAAGAAGAAGAAGAAGAACAAGCAAGAGAACAACTCGAAACCTAAACAAACAACCACTTTTAAGAAGAAAAAGAACAACAAAGATGGTGGTTGCTTTGTTTGTGGGAGCGATAAACATTGGGCAAGTTCGTGCCCAGACCGTAAATTTAAGTAAGAGAAGAAATCTACAAATATGGTTGTTAGCTAGGCTGAAGGAGGAACATCTGGGTATGGTTTTACCTACTGTTTTTTCAGTCTGCCATTCGTCTGAGTGGTGGATTGGACACTGGGGCTAATATTCATGTGTGTGCTGATGTTTTTTTTGTTTTTTTCTTATCAGGTCGGCGGGGCTGGAGCCTTGCTGATGGGAACGGGTCCCATGCGCGTGTTCTTGGTGTTGGTACGGTCATTCTGAAGTTATGTCGGATACCACAAGAAGGGGTACCCTAAACAAGAACCGAAAATATTGCTTAAGCCTTGCAAAAATCAAAGCCAAAGGACAACCACGAGGTCTCGGCAGATTCTCCGACTCGCCCAAGGCTTGCGCCGAGGCCTCAGACGAAAGGCCAAAGCCCTCCGCCCCGTCGAGGCCCTCTCGCCGAGGCCCCCTCGCCGAGGCCCCGCCCCGTAATGCCTCGGATGGGATACCAATTCTCCGATTCGTCCGAGGCTGGGCTCGGCAACAACCTCGTCACCTCCGTCCCGACCAACTCCCCTGACAAAACGTCACGTCCAGTCAATACGCCCCACTACTCCCGCAGAACGTCACCGCAGACGCTAGCACAAAGATAGTGAGAATGTAATGACCGACGGATAGGGACCGGCGCAGCAGGGGGTTACCTACCACCGTGCTTCATCGATGTGCCCCTCCCGACACACCGTGACGCCTGTGCTACCTAACTCCTGCGCTAAGGACAAAGTGGCGTGGAGGGTCAAGTCCGGGTCCCAGAAGTCTCGGAATCAGCATGAAAGACCAACCGTTCGTCCTCCGCCTCGTCCGAGACCCCCCGGCAGGGCCTCGGACGTACTATTCCTTCTCCGCCTCGGCCGAGGCCGGGCTCGCCCCAGCATCCTCGCCGCCTCCGCCTCAACCGTCCTCTCCGCGCGAGCCGTCACATCCGCTTAAGTGCGCTCGGTCACACCTACTACGCCGCCCACGACCGATAGGGGTACAAAGAATAGGGGCGATGGGACAATGATCAAATCTCCTTTTTACCATCCCCACATCGACGGTGCAGGGGGTTACTGTGTGCTGTGGACACACGCCCGCACTTCTCCACCATCCCCACCGACGGCAGACAACGACCACCGAGACCCCGCATCATACACGAGTCACCTCCGAGGCCTCGGCAGAGAGCAGCCCTCGCACGATCATACACTGGTCCTCCCGAGGCCTCGGCAAAGTAGGCCTCGGCACGATCGACCATACAAGACCCGCCAGCCCCTCAGACTCCACCAAGTCAAGAACACACAAGGCACAACATGTCTCCTACAAAGGAAGCCATACCGACTAGACGTCAACAAGGACTCCCACGACCTCAACAACCTTGGGCTCACAAGACGGCAAGGCCAAATAAGTACCAATCGCCATCCCCAACACCATGTCACACAGATCGAACTACAGAGGGGCTCCACGATAGCTCACTCATGTACTCCTGGCTCCTCCTTATGGTTATAAAAGGAAGCAAACAGGATAGCTCTGGGGCGAAAAGGAGAAAATAGGAAGAACACCGGTAGCTCACACACATACACATCCCAAATTACCGAGAGCAATGTCTCAAGCAGCCCACACGACACCTCGCCGAGACCTAGGATTAGCTCCTCTCTCCCCGTGCTTGTAACCCCTACTACTAGCACTTCGTGCAAGGAATACAAGATCGATCTCTCAGACTGGACGTAGGGCATCGATTGCCTGAACCAGTATAAACCTTGTGTCTCTTTGCATCACCATCCGGGATTAGGGGCACGTAGTTCAAATTCACTAGTTGGTAGAGGACCCCGGTCCAAAACACCGGCTAGCTATTAGCGCCCGGTAGGGGCCTCTCGTGTGTCGGGCCATCATCCCAACAAGTTCCGGATGGCGACCCCAGACGACCAATACGCCTCGGCACGGTGATCTAGTTCGGGGGCCTAGAGTTCATGTCTCTGGGGCATGAGTACGACATGGTACTCCTCACGCCCCGAGCCCCACCAACCGACGGCGACGTCACGCACCGGCAGCCTCGGCGCAGGCGGCGCGGCGCGGGCGCGCTCGCTCCGCCGCTCGCCAGCACGACGCGAGCAAGACCACCCCAATGCTACTCGAATCCAGATTTGCACGCCGCTCCCGCCGACATCCTACGACTAGTCTGTTGGCACAGGCTCCTCGGC